CTGGGCCTGCTATCCTATCACTTTGTTTCAAAGGACATCTAAGGTAATGCTAAAGTAAAGTAATTTAATTTAATTTAGGATACCTAAAATGCTTAAATAAATGCTTAAATAAGTATAAAATAGATTTGTTATTTGAGATAAGAAGTCCTTTTAGAAGAATTCAGAATCTATTTCTGTATATCGTTCTATAAAGTATCATGTAGATCAGGCAACATCGTCTACACCAGGGTTAGGGGATCCGGCATGACAGAAATGGACCTTGTGGTTTTGCCTCTTTCCACTAGCCAGGGCTCCTTCCAGACTTCCTCCTATACTCTATCATCCTACTGTGCTGCTGCTGTCTTTCCTATGCCACTTTAGAGGGTGTGAAAGAGAAACAAGCGAAAACTATAAAAGATGGGACTCAGTCCCTTCAGTGGTTGTTTTGTTTGCTTTAAAAGATATGTTCCTCTTCTAAGTATCCTGAACATTCTAGCTCATTTTTTTAAAAAAATCTCCCACCTCTACACCAAGGTTGGAAGGAGAATTAATTGGCTACTGGACAGCAGTGTAGGACCTAAAGGACAGTGAGGCATATAAACTATGAGACAAAAAGAGCTAGGATAAAACTAAAAAGTGGGGATGGAAACTTCTGGACCAAAGAGTTTTTTTTTCACTTTGTGTGCATATGTGGTATTTCACGAGTCTCCAGTTCAAAATAACTCTTAGCCCACTGCAGTTTGTTGTTGAATATATAAATATGTGCTTACCTGTATCCTTTGTCAAGAGGGATACATTTAGAGTTACGTTTGCAAGGGTTTAGCTCAGGTACACACTGGTTAATCACTTCATCGCATAGCTCTCCTGGAGTAAGAAATAAAATGACAAAGTTTTAGATTAAAAGAAAATGCTGTGGTAAGTTGGCAGACTTTTGTGAACTCTAGCATAATGTTCAGAGACAAGGGTCTTCTTAGGGAGAAGATACGAAGAATAAAGTTGTGAGTGTGCAAACTTGAAACAATTTAACAAACAGTATTGTGGCACTGATTTTTGTGGCCAAATTTTTAGGATGATGAGGTAAAATTTTGTTGCAGCATATATTTCAGTACAGTGGTGCCTCACTTAACTATTGCTTCGCTTAATGAGGAAATCGCTGTACGATTAGATTTTTGCAATTGCAAAATGATGGTTTAAATGGAGTTTTTTTGTTTAACGATGATCGGTTCCCTGCTTCGGGAACCGATTTTCGCTTTACGACGATCAGCAAACAGCTGATCGTTGGGTTTCAAGATGGCCGCCGGCTGAAGAAAATGGCCTCCTGCTGTTTTCTAGGATGGATTCCTTACTTTACAGACACCGAAAATGGCTGCCGTATGGAGGATCTTCGCTGGACGAGCAGGTATTCAGCCCATTGGAACGCACTGAATGGTTTTCAATGCATTTCAATGGTTTTTTTTATTTTGTTTGACGATGTTTTCGCTCTACAGTGATTTCGCTGGAACGAATTGACATTGTCAAGTGAGGCACTACTGTATTTAAGATGCCCCAAACCTGTTACTGCAATGGAAGATAATAGATTTCAAAGGAAGTTCGCAATATTGCTTTTTAGGAGCCCTTCACTGTGGCTTAGAATTGACTTGATGACAGATAATAGATTTCAAAGGAAGTTCGCAATATTGCTTTTTAGGAGCCCTGTGTTTTGCTGTTGGTACTGTTTTCTCTATCTAATAAACGTAATACTTGCTATCTTTTTTTCCTGTGTTCATGCTATGTCGCAGAGAAGAAGGGATGTTTTTGGTAAATCAAATGCATTGTGACAATAGAAACCTTTTTTGAAAATATGTAAGCCATTTACATAGCAGATCTCTTGTACTCAGGGTTCAGGACTCTCACTAATCTAGTAATAAAGAAGAATGATACAGAGTTTCTTGTACCCGGAGAATAAACTAATATGTAGTATTTTGTGGTTTTCCCACACTGTCTCTTAAAAATTACTAGAGGGTGATGTCATTTGAATATATTAGGATCCTATTCAACCTTCCAGTAAGTGAGCTGATTTAATCATAGTGCATACAATTGACAGGTGATCGGTGAGAAAGAGTTTTAAAAAATCTCTTTTTTTCAGTTTGTTTTGTAACCGAGATAATGGCAGCTCGTTTCATTAATATTCCCAATATATTAAGTCTCCTCCAATATGATTAATCATTGACCTAAATTATGTTGGGATATTTTTGCCCCTTAATGTCTGACCTATTTTAGGTCTACATTTGTATCAATTAAAGCATATAGTTTTGCCATGTCCGGAGTAGTACCAGGTTCTTCTCATTAACCCTGTAACCTTTGAAACCTCCTCTCTTGGTCTTACATGCTTGTGCCTATTGTCTTTATGTCATCAGTACTAATAGAAACTGCAGTTAAGTAGTTCCTGTAGGCATTCAGCCGGTAGCGCACGTAACCCTTGTGCAAGGGCCAGCAATAATTTGATCCTCTATCTTCAGGCACCACCATGCAAGGAACTAAGAGTCTTCCAACAGTTGAGCTTGGAAAATGTTCACCATTTCTCTTTGTTTTCACAGATCAGAAACCAACCCTTGAAAATATGAGCTCTGCACACCGTCATAGAACCCTGGATACGTTGTGTTTATGCTGCCACCAAAAAAAACTGGCTTCACTGCGAGGGGACATGTTTTGGCTGCAGAAAAGAGCAGACTAGGGACTGGGATGCATCTGCTTTCTAGCGAGTCCCCATTATGAACAGGTATACAACTCTCAAGCAGCTGGGAGATGGGACGTACGGCTCTGTCCTTCTGGGGAGAAGTAACGAGTCAGGGGAGCTGATCGCCATTAAGAGGTAAGAGACTTCTCTACTATTTCAACTCTGGCGGTGTCTGCACCTGTCTCCCGACTCTGGGCTATTCCTTCAGTCCGCTCTTGTGTCCAAGGGGATCTGATCCACGGACTGCAGATGTTGAGAGCAGTTTCTCATCGCACTAGGAGGGGCATTTGTTACCATCCTGCAGAAGGAAGGTGTTGAGTGACCTTCTCTTTTTTTTATATTCTCCCCCCCACCCCAAATCAAGTTTCTAGCTTCTGGGGGCCTTTTTCAGACAACAGCTGCAATGCTGCCCAGGCTAAGCATGTTCTGTGAGTGATTCTGGGAGTCATAAAGTAATTTCTCTCAAGCTCTGCTGGGGAGGCGTAATAGGCATGGTCAGCGAAGCCTGCTGGAAAAGTGGGCTTTTGAGGGGAGGGCACTGTCATGTATACCGACCAGCTTCTTGATTCTGCAAAAGACTGGCAGAACCTGAATAAATTCTAGGAAATGCTAACTGCTTTGGCAGATTAAATTCTGCAATATATGTGTGTGTGTGTGTGTGTGTGTGTGTGTGTAAATGTATAAACAAATAATGCATAAAGCCCCAGCCATAACCAACTGATGCAGTGTAATCCCATCTCTCCAACTGACCATATGGCTTCTGGATTTTAAGTAATATATCTGCCGTTTGTGCACAGTCTGTGTACTTTCATACAGCAGTTGCAAACACCAGGAACAAGTGTTTCTTCTGAAAAACAACTGTGGTATTTTATTGGACGGGGAAGAAACCCTATAGACATATAGAGATAGATTTAATCCTTATATTTGATTAGCTTCCAGTGTCTGGCCATGTATTTTCTGCCCCAATACTATTTCTTTTCCTGATCAACTGCTTCTCTTGATTCATAGTTCAGTGTCTTACTGGCTTACCTCTCGCTATGTTTTGGTGGACACAGATGACTAGAATCACAGGGACGTTCCTAATGAAACCTCCATGAGACACAATTTAACAGTGTTTTTGATAGAACAAATTATGACAGCACTCATATGTCAGTAGAAAATAGGTGAACAGTGTTCAGTGGCTGAGGTTTAGATTGAGGTTCAAATGTTATCTGAGTGGCCTAAAATACTGTGTCATATTCCAGTACAAAGTTAGCAATTTCTTTGGAATTTTTGATTCGAGTGGTGAGTGAGTGAGAGAAACGTTCTGGAATGTTTTCTTCAATGACAGGGCAGGTTTGAGCAGAGAGTGGGTTGCGGGGGAGAGGCAAGCCTGCTCCAGTTACACTTCAAGCTTTAGGAGTATGAGGGGCATCATTCATATATTCACTCATAATGTAAAAAGCAGGTTACTTGGCAGTAACTCCATGTTGCTCTTTGAGTAAGATTCTAGTTTTTCAAAGTCCCATTTTTATAAATGCTTTCTGGCTCAATTTCTAGCTAATTGTTGGCAGAAGAAATTTGTGGAAAAGAAGAGCTCTTTTGTGTGTGTCTCTGTGTGTATAATGAGTATGAAATAAGACTTTCCATTTGGTGGGCTGAAATGCTTGAGTCTGCTGGTCTCCTGAATCACGACAGTATGGCATGACCAGATTCAACAGCAACCACTTCCGATGAAGGCAGAACTCACCAGACCACAAAAC